CTGTATTATAAGCACGTGCATAAGCAATATTATCTAAAACATCTTGACCAGAAAGACCATATCGTTCAGCAATAGCCAATAAACGTTCAGGACGAAATGAACCTTCTGTATCAATATATATTGCTTTACCTTCACCACCACCCATATCAATTGGTAACTAAAAAAAAAAATTACATAAGATTTTATTCTTAAAAAGTATATTGAAAAAAAACAAACAATTACTTGACATGTAACAGCAACTTGATGACATAATTGTGATTTACCACAACGATATTCACCATATAATTCTGTAATAGAACCTGTTTCAAAACCACCTTGTAATTGTTTATCAAGTTCTCTTGAACCAGTTGTTAATTGAATAATTTCTGAACGTTTTTGATGATATTCTGTAGCTGTTGTAAAACCCATTGGAACAAGTTTTGCTGCTTCAGCCTAAAACAAAAAAAAAAAATTTTTTTTAATTTTTAATTTTTTTGTTTTCGATTTTGAATATAAAAACTTACAGCTAATTTATCAGCTTTTGCATCACTTATACCTTTTACAGCTAGAAGACTTTTTCTTGGTGCAAATGCAATAGATTCAACCGTACAAAATCCAGCTTCTTGTAATTTTTTTAAATCAGCATTACCAATACCACATGATTTATCTAATTTAGTTATTGGTGTTGGTCCACCTGTTTCACAATCGATTGATACACTATCATTGACTTGAAGTGCAGCAGTTACAGCTGCTGGTGCTTCCGTTGACAAAGTTGTGTCTTTTTCTTTTTCAATTGTTGATTCTCGAATTTTTGTTTTTGGAGGCATTATTATCAACAAACAAATAAAATAAAATGAACAAAAAATCTTTGTGTTCAGTTCGTTCTTAAAGAAAGATTATAACCAATACGACAAGATTTATAAAAATGAATGAAATGATACTCTAGATGTCATTCATTACAATATAAAAAAAAATTTGATTGGTTTACAATTCAAAATTCCAAATTTTACCAAATACCAGATTGAAATATACAATATATTCAATTCAAGACTAATTGATATATGTTTACTTGGTATTTTTAGGTAATGAAATATAACTTCTATATATGTGAGTTATATTAGTAAGGTACCTATTAGTCTTATTGATTTGTTTTAAAAAGAAATCAGTCACTTAGTTTGAATTGCATATATGATTCATTAGTTAAATAAACTTTTTAAAAGATTGAACAAAAATTTTAGCTTAGATAGATTTCAATTTTGTCATTAAACAGAGTACTGCGTATAAAGAGAACTAGTGGATCATTTATATAAGCATTGTAATTCGAAACACTAATTTAATGAGTTATACTTTTTTTTATTTCGTTCAATTAAATTTCATCATTCACTATGAGCGATTAGATCATAGATTCAGTTTTTTTTTGAAAAGTGAATATTTAATTAAGGTGATATGATTGACCAAATTTCAGAACATGAACAATAATCGAAATATTTATGTCTCACTAAAGTAATAATTCCCTCACATATTACAAAACTCTGAGTCTTCTATTATGATCCATTAATTTTTGACTATTTCTGCTAAGAATGAGCAATAGTTTCTTTTAATGATATACTGTATACTTCTATATTGAAGTTAATCTTTCATTCACATACAACACTGTTTAATTAAACCCAGAGAATAATTCTTCATTCTCAAAGAATTGAATATTTCAGAAACAAACAAAAAAAAAATGGCATTTGCTCTTGAACGAGAACGTCGTCAAACTGCTGGCAATCGTCTTAAACGTTTACTCGAACAACAAGAGGATCCAGATGATGAATTTTATGGTACAGCTTATGGTGGTTTTCTTGATGTAAAAAAAAAGTTTTTATCTTTATTACATTATTTTAAATTAATATTTTTCAGGAAGAAGAAGATAATGATTATCATTCTGAAGAATCTGAAGAAGATGTTGTAGATTCAGATTTTGATCAAGAAGATGAAGAACAACAACAACAAGGTGAAGATGAACAAGAACAAATAGATACAAATAAAAAACGAAAAACTGATGAAGATAGTGATGATGATAATGGAACAACAAAACGTAAAAGAAAAAAAATTATATATCAAGCGCAAAGTCTTCAACAAGAAGTAAATAAATTTTCTTTGTTTTGTTTTTACTTATTTTTTTCGTTTTTTTTCTTTTTGTAGTTAAAAGCTAAGAAAAAAGAAGAACAAGAAGGAGCAGGTGATTTAAAATTAATTCGACAACAACAGAAAAAAGAGAATGCACCAAAAATTGGTAAATTCAATTTTTTTTCGAAACAAAAAAGCATAAATCTTTTTTTTTTTCGTTCGATTTAGAAGCTAAAACATTACGTAAATCAACTAGTGTTAAACGAGTTGAACTTGAAAAACGACAAAAAGAACGACAAGAACGTCGTGTTTATCTTAAAGGTGTTGCATCATTAAGAAATACTCGAGAAGTACGAAAACTTACACAAGAAGAATTACTTGAAGAAGCTAAAATAACTGGTAAAATGAAATATTTAAAATTAAATTTAATCTTATTTTTTATGTTTTTTTTAGAGGAAATTAATCTTGAATCATTAGGTAAATTTTTTATTTCTTTCTCTCCTCAAAAAAAAACTTTTTTAATTATTTTTCAGAGGCATATCAACAAATTGAATTAAAGAAAAAAGAAATAAAACGTATGAAATTAATACAAGAATGTCCACGTATTTGTATAAGTTCAATGACAATTTTAAATGAACCAAATGATCAATGGAATGATTTGCTTGATGAAAGTTATCAAATTGAATCTATATCTGAACGATGTTCACGTACATTTGTTTCATTTACACATATTCAAACATATAATGATACATTTTCAAAATTAAATTCATCCAATCGTCATTATCGTCGTTTATGTCCAATAACAGGAATGCCAGCACAATATTTTGATCCATTAACACAAATGCCTTATGCTACATTAGAAGCATTTAAAATTCTTCGACGAATTTATGCTGAAGAAATGAAAAAACAAAAACGAACAACATCAGTTTTAATCGATGCTCAGAAAGATGTTAATCTAAATATTCTTCGTTAATTTGTAAATAAATATTCATCATGATTAATTAGAAAAAAAAAACACTATACAAGTGTTTGCAAACAAACAAAAAAAACATCCACACCTCGTTCGACACATATTATCTTATGTACATATTCTTTTCAAATTATCTTACTTAGCAGTTGATGATCTGAAACGAAAAACAGATAGTCATAATAAAGAAACACCCTATCAGTATTATGTTGAATATCGTTCTTACATTTGGTCAAAAAAGTATCCGACCACCTCGTTTTAGTCTCATCCAAAAACTTTATTCAAAATGAACTCTTTAGAAATTCATATATGACAGAGAACTTTGTTTGCTCTATCCAATGAAGGTACTTGGAGAAAAACGCAACATGCTTCGAAATAGAAAATCAGTTTTTACGAAAAAATCATGAAATTTTCGAGAAAAATAAATCCCAGCCAAATTTGGTGAAGTACTTCATAATAGGAAAATTACTTATCTAGTTTTGTAGAGCAGCTCACGGCACATCGAATGATATATAGTAAATTGCATTTTCATCAAATCTTGATGCATTAAGCATCCAAATACTGGTTGGGAGACATACAGTGAGTAAACGTATAAAAAGCACCTTATACCCATGCCTAGTTTTAATCAGTTTCCTTGCGTGAGAGCAGACACTACAAAAATTCTCTTTTCACTGGTGAATAGCTAGATGAGATCTGCATCAACATTAGAAAAAAACCAAGATCAAAGATCGTTTCTAAAATTATTGACCAATTTGTCAATGTCAAAAATAGATTTTCACGCATGCACAGAATGATTATCTCTACACTGAGCTTTTTTCACATGCACGGATTCTTAATGCATCAAGACTCGATAAAAATGCAATTTGCTATATACCGTTCGATATGACGTAAGCTTCTCTACAAAACTGCATCAGTCATTTTCCTATTGAAGTGCTTCACCAAATTTGGCAGAAATTTACTTTTCTCGAAAATTTCATGATTTTTCGCAAAGAATGATTTTCTATTGCGAAGCATGTTGTGCTTTTCCTCCAAATGCTTCATTGGACAGAGCAAAGAAAGTTCTTTGTCATTCATGAGTTTTACAAGAGTCCGACTTTCTAAAGGATTGATTTGAATAAAGTTTTACCACTAGTCAGTCTAAAATATATTGACTTTGGGGCAGTCAGCTACGCTTAGTCGATTGGTGTGGTTTGTTTTTTGTTTTGAAATTATTTGACATCAGAGCAATAAAATCTAGAGAAATACCAGAAGAAACTCTGCAACGTTTAAACCTTTGTATAGACTGAATTACAAAAATCATGGTCTAGAAACTTCTAACCATATTTAAACTGAATACAAACCTCACCAATCGACTCAGCGTAGCTGACTACCCCACAGTCAATATATTTTAGGCTGACCAGTGGTCAGTTGGCCGGTTTCAAGGCTTCCAGTAAACTGCTTATAACTCTTGATTGGAATAAGCTAGAAGGATCGGCCTTGCGTAGATCAACAGATAAATATCTTCGCTATCAATCCAATGAATTGAAATTTATAGTTAGTTACGAAATTTTTTTCGAAAACTTCTGGTCAAAATCTATGGCAAAACCTGACCAGCTGGACTATTTTATAGTTATGGTGATTTAGTACACCTTTACTTCTCCCATATTTCTCTTTCGAATGGTGAAAACCGTAGACGTAGCTACTTTCGTTTTCGAGATAATTAAAAAATATCCATGTACATTATATCTTGATGTCGATAGTAGTAACTTTGATGAGTAAAGGTAATATCTGGTGATGCTTGGTGAATAGAAATTTTCTTTGTTGTGACTTTTCTAGTATCTATTGACGCTGTTTCTCGATATATAGAATGAAGAATTGTTCTGCATACTGTTTAGTCTGTATTAATTTCGATTTTCTATAGAATTTATATTAATTTGTCATTGCTTTTATTTCATATCAATCAATGACTTGTAAAGCATGGCAATAGTTTG